CATCTGGTCTGCAACTTCATCTGCAATCCTTGCCCCAACCAGACAGAACCACCCAGATAAGCTGTTCCTAAATTCATTTTGCACAAGAGCTATGTGATACAATCAGCATTTGTTGTTTAAAGCTGAGTTCTGGGGGGGAAAATTTGTTAAGCAGGAACAGATAACTAACACCAGACCCATCTTTTGGAACTATACAATCTGTCCAAGATTGGGCAACTAACCCAAGTTAGGGTAATGAATAATTTCCCTCCATTTTTTTTTTTAACAGACTATCACAGAGAACATAGTTTCTCTCTGATGGCTGAACATACGAGATGTGAAGCAAATGTTTTTAGTGGCCCATGTTGCTACCAGATGGAGAAAGCCAGACTAAAGTGCAGGAGAATAAAGTTGATACGAAGGGAAACAGAAGGGCAGAGGAAACCCATGATGACATTGGGGTCCGTGGTGCCAACTATCCCGAGACTCTGATGGATCTTGCCCTTTCTTTGGGTTAGATATTTTATCCTTCTCCAGAGTCCTCCATCCTGATATTATTGCCTCAATATTATTTTTCTTCTTGGCCCAATCCCTCACTCTAGTTGTTATGCCAATGTCATCATACCAATGAACTCTGACCACTCTAAAAGATTACCCAGTGTGTAAAAGCTTTGTAATATGTCACTTGGCTAGGTGTAATGTTTTCTAGAATTCATTTTCTATATATGCTTCCAGTTAGAGAGAGTCCCAAAGGAGATTCTTGAGCAATTTGGAGGGTGGTAGGGAAGCAGTAACCATTTTGTAGTTCACACCTACAGTGTTGCTAATCTACCGACTCACTTTAGGCGTGAAGAAGCAGCAGGGCCTGAAATTACTCTGTTTTCACCTGGATCTTCCTTCAGCTCCTCCAATCCCTGGTCCAGGTGTGTGTGCATTTATCTTGGTGTTAAAGAGCCCCTGTTTCTACAGAATACCCTCACCACAAAGGCCAGAAGCAATAAGAACTAGCACAGGCTTCCATCTGTCTTTGTCCACTTTTCCTTTCATATGTATGAAATTCTAATAAGGATTTGAAGAATAAACAAGTTTTCATCAGATGGGAAGTGAGTTGGGGAAGAAAAATGTTCCAAGCTAAGGAACCAGCACTTCTTTGTTCAGAAACAAAGAAGTATGAAATGGGCCAGCCTGTAATCTCAGTACTCTGAGGGGCCAAGGCCAGGGTCAAGTTGGAGACCAGCCTGAGCTAGAATGAGACCCTGTCTCTAAAAACAGCTGGGCGCTGTGGCGGGTGCCCGTAGTCTCTGCTACTCTGGAGACTGAGGCAAGAAATCACTTAAGCCCAAGAATTTGAAGTTGCTATGAGCTATGACCCTATGGCACTCTACTGGGGGTGACAAAGTGAGACCTTATCTCAAAAAAAAAAAAAAGAAGTATAAAATGATTCATTAGGAACATGTTTTTTCTAGAATACAAATCAGTAGGATGAAAAATTAAAGACAGACTTTATCTTACAATTAAGCACTCACAACAATTTTTTGTTTCTGAAAATTCCTTTCTGAAAATACAAGTAAAAAATACAGACCTCAGAAGCCCATTCCCCAGAGATTCTGATTCGTTAAGTCTGTGATTAGGGCCTAGAAATTTATATTTTTAATATGTCACTCAAACAATTCTGGTCAAAAGTGATCTAAGGAACATACTCTGATGAACATCATACAATGGGGAGCTGCTGAGGGCTTTAAGTAGAAAAGTCACTTGATGAGATCTGAATTTTCAAAAGATTACTCTAGATCAGTGGTTCTCAACCTGTGGGTCGTGACCCACAGGAACTGTATTATTAAGGGCTGCAGCATTAGGAAGGTAGAGAACCACTGCTTTAGATGCAATGCAGAAAAAATGGATTTGAGGAAGGTAAATCTAGATACAGAGATATGTTTAGTGGTTTCTGTAATAATACAAATGAGAGGTAGTGGCAGCCTCAATAAAGGCAGTGAAAATAGCAACAAGATTGTGGAGGAAAGTTAAATATTTTAGGAGGTAAAATATCCTTAGGATGCTGGGAGATCAAAAAGGATCCCAGGTGATTTCCAAAATGTTTCTTTGAGTAATTAGGTAGGTGATAAAATAGAAAATATAGACAGAAACAGATTCAGAGGTTAGAACATATTTTTAAAATGATGAGTCCAGTATGCTAAATTTTTTTTCTTTTCTTGTCATTTCTTTTTTCTTTTCTTTTCTTTCTTTCTTTTTCTTCTTCTTCTTCTTCTTCTTTTTTTTTTTTTTTTTTTGAGACAGAGTATGGCTCTGTTGCCAGGGCTAGAGTACCATGGATTCACCCTAGCTCACAGCAACCTCAAACTCCTGGGCTCAAGTAATCCTCCTGCTTCAGCCTGCTGAATGGCTAGAACTATAGGCACCTGCCACCATGGCCAATTTTTCTATTTTTAGTAGGGATGGGGGTCTCACTCTTGCTCAAGCTGGTCTCAAACTCCTGACCTCAAGCACATCTTCCCACCCCGCCTTCTCAGAGTCTAAGATTACAGGCTTGAGCCACTAGGCCCAGGCCCAGTATGCTAGCTTTTAAGTTCAGTATGCCTATATAATATTTACATGGAAAAGTAAAGAAGGTAGTTACACAGAGAATGTTAGTCAGGAACATTTTTTTCCCTATACCTGATGTTTCCATGCTGTGGGACCTTCATTAGAGTAACACCTCCATTCTCCTTTTTCCTCCACATTCACCTGATAACTGAATTTGAAGAAACGAATTGAGGTATATATGGCTTATCCTGGTTTTTCTTATTCCTTTGCTTTCTGCTTACCTGTAGGCAACTATGTTCAGAAAATAGAATACTGAAGGAGCCTGGAGGACAGAGGACAAAGCAGAAGCTGTAAGGATGTCTAGGCAGCCAGCCTATAATAAAAGAAGGGATATTCTTCCAGAGAGGGTGTTGGGAATGGATGCTAAAAGAGGGCCTTAGCACCAGAGAGAGCCCAGGTAAATCTGAGAAGTACCAGATTTACTTTGGTACCAGTACCAAAAGCTTACTCTTAGACAGAGGCCATCAGCTTGGCAGAATCCAGCCACAGAGGACAGGACCAGACAGAGCCAGAGAGGGAGACCAGAGACATGAGGCAATGTCTGCCTTCCCTTCTAGTGACCTTCAATCTAGTGAACCAGAAAGGGAAGGGACTGCCCGGCATGGTGGCTCACACCTGTAATCCTAGCCCTCTGGGAGGCCAAGGCAGGTGGATCATTTAAGCTCAGGAGTTCAAAACCAGCCTGAGCAAGAAACTAGCCTGAGCAAGAGACCAGCCTGAACAAGAGTTGAGACTTTGTCTCTACTAAAAATAGCAAACAAGCCATTAGAATTCAATTATCATTCTAATCACATCTCTTATTCACCATCTGAGGCTTGACTCATGGACTAAGAACTTTCAGAATCAGCACTTTCACTCTTCCTCCCCTCCCTTTTCTTTCTTTCTTTTTTCTTTGGAGACAGAGTCTCACTCTGCCACCCAAAGGGGCATCATAGCTCATAGCAACTTCAAACTCTTGGGCTTAAGCAATTCTCTTGCCTCAGCCACCAGAGTAGCTGGGACCGCAGGCTACAGACGTGGGCCTGCTAGGGTAGAGCAAAGTGTGGGATCTGCTTGACACATCAGGAAGGACCGACCGAGAAAGGGAGCGCTGACTCGTGTACAGAACAGAAAGCACGGTTGAGGACAGAGATGGCAGAAAAATAACATTTCCTATGTTTATACCCCATCAAGTTCATTCTTTGTAATAAACAGGTGGTGTTCAGATGGGCATTTTTCAGGGCTTGAAGGTCATATTTTCCAAGATTTAATCAAGAAAGGTAAAGATTGCTTTAGTGAAAAGAGAAGAGGACTGAGGGGACAACCCAGGAGTATGCCAACATTTAGGGGTCAGGAACGGGAAGAAGATCCAGTAAAGAAGACTGACAAATCAGGAGAGTCAAGCCAGCAGAAGAGTCCAGGAAGGAAGCAGTTCCACTGTGATTTACGCTCCCTAAACGCCACCTGACAGATCCCAAGCCCCACTGGCCCATGGATACAAACTGATCATGTTCATCTCCAACTTCACAACCTCAACCTCCATCTGTACAACTGTTGTCACTCTTCTTCCCCAAAGTCTCCTTTTCTGTCAGCCTTTCAGGAGAATCTTATTTCTTTGCTGTCTCTTACAGTCCCATGGCCCCACAGCACAACATCTTGAATGAGCTAACAGGACAGCATTTCATTTAGTCCTTCCTGTGGATTCCCTTCCCTCCACATATGGGAAGTATAATAATAGCATAGACTGACAGCTGTGCTTCTGTATCCTTTTTGTTTTGTCGCTGGTCCCAGGCCACTGAGAATAAAGATTATACAAGCTAGCTTTCCTTGAAGTTAGGTAAGGCAATGTGATTAGATTCTGGCAATACACTGGAACGAAAGCAGTGGGTGCAAACAGCAGGATAGTCCTCCCCCTCCCCCATTTTTTTCTTTTCCTTCTTCCAGCTGGTTGGAATGTGGTTGCTAAAGTGAGAGTAGCCATCTGAGACCACAGGCAAATGTGGAAATGGGGAGGCCATAGGGACTGACACCAAGATGCATCCCCTAGCTCTCCCTTCAATGAAGGCTGCTGGGAGTGATGTCAGTAGACATCCCCCAAACTCCCTTCCACTTTGGCTCCAGAGAGCCATCTTGCTCAAGGTCACACACATTCTGGGGCAGTCCATATTTAGTGACAGTCAAATGTGAGAAAATAAAAGCCTGGGCATTTTGGCCTAACTCGAGAAATTCTCCGAGAGGCTCCAGTTTCCCATGGGGTTGGCCATTGCCATCCTTGGGACTACATCACTACTCCACTGTTCCCTCTGCCTGCCCCTGCTGGTCCTCAAACCAGCCAGACAGGCCTCTGTGTAGATGCTCCCTCGGGTGCAATGCTCTGATAGTCAGAAACCTTGACTCCTTCATGTCTATCTGGTCTTTGTTCAAAACTGCCATTCGCGCCTTTTGCTACTGCGGCCGGAGCCATGAGTATGCTCAGGCTTCAGAAGAGGCTTGCCTCTAGTGTCCTCCGTTGTGGCAAAAAGAAGGTCTGGTTGGACCCCAATGAGACTAATGAAATCGCCAATGCCAACTCCAGCCAGCAGATCCGGAAGCTGATCAAAGATGGGTTGATCATCCGCAAGCCTGTGACTGTCCATTCCCGAGCTCGATGCCGGAAAAACACTTTGGCCCGCCGGAAGGGCAGGCATATGGGCATAGGTAAACGGAAGGGTACGGCCAATGCTAGAATGCCTGAGAAGGTAACCTGGATGAGGAGAATGAGGATTCTGCGCCGGCTGCTGAGAAGATACCGAGAATCTAAGAAGATTGACCGCCACATGTATCACAGCCTGTATCTGAAGGTGAAGGGGAATGTGTTCAAAAACAAGCGGATTCTCATGGAACACATCCATAAGCTGAAGGCAGACAAGGCTCGCAAGAAGCTCCTGGCTGACCAGGCTGAGGCTCGCAGGTCAAAGACCAAGGAAGCACGCAAGCGTCGTGAAGAGCGCCTCCAGGCCAAGAAGGAGGAGATCATCAAGACTCTGTCCAAAGAGGAAGAGACCAAGAAGTAGAACGCCCCCCCTCTTGTCTGTACATAGTGGCCTCCATGACTGACGATCAATCATTCAAATAAAACAAGCCTTTATCTGGTAAAAAAAAAAAATAAATAAAAAATAAAAACTGCCATTCGCAGTGTACCTTGCCCTGAGTGCCCTGTTGAATACTGCAGACTATCCCCACCAATACTCTTGATCATTATCCTGTTCTTCCCCCACCCCATAAACCTAGCCCTTTCTAATATGGTCTGTAACACTGTTACTTATTTGTTATGCTTTGATCTACTTTCTTTCTTCCCCCATGGTATATAAGGCCAGTGAGGATACACACAAAAATCTCTATTTTGCACACTGACATCTCACAGGCCTACAGTGATGACCATCACAGACCAGGCATCTGCATTCAGTAAATATTTGTTGAATATATGAAGACATGAATAAATAAATCACTATGGAGAATTTTGTAGATATTCACTGAACAGAGTCTTCAATTCAAAAACCATTTAAAATGAATTATTTGGCAGCAGATTCACTGTTATATATTCTACATTATCCAATCACGAAAGATTGGAGTACTCTAAATCAGTCCTTTTATAATCTAGATTCATTAACATTTTTCTACACACACATAAACACACCCCTAAGTGTTTAGATGCCTTATTTTATAAATGAGACCTGTGATTTCTGTTCTAAGGAGATGTCCATAAAAAAAAAGAGTGATTTTCTCTAAAATTGGAAATTTAGAAAAAACAGACCTGAAATTCTCAAGTGTAGTGACCCAGGACAGTTTCCTGGCTTTACACTATAGGGTACAGTTACTTCTAGCAGGAACTGTTTGTTCTCAAGTACTATTCATTGTAACTGAGTTGTTGGAAACTTTGTTTTGCTTCATATTACCAGTTTCTGAATGAGGTCGGTATTTCTGAGGTTTCAGGAAGTTTCTTTTGAAGTCACCATTCCAAGAAAAACATGAACTAGATCAACTGAGCACCCACGGAGATGGCCTGGGGATTTATTTTTGCAGCTCCTGATTCTCAGGGGGCTTTCCTCTTCCCCAGATATTCTTTTTTTCACCATTGATCTTAAGCGTTAGTAGGTTATGTAAATGTCATTATAGCATTCTAATTTAAAACACGATATTATGATTGAATATAAGTCAAGCCCATTGTTTTTTATAGAAGACAAAGAATATAATTTTAAAATACTTATAAATAAAGATCATTGAACTAGGAATAAAACATTTAGCACTGTTTATTAATTACTAGTTATTAATATGTGGTGATTGAAGAACGAATGTTAATTATATTCTTTTTACTCTTTTTAGGTGTTAATAACTTCACAGGAAACAGATAATAAACCATCACTGAAGTTTTTTGTTACCCTTGGAGTGACATGGCCCTCATTCACTCTACCCATCACTTATTCAGGCTCCCAGAAGCAAGCAGAGTTCAGAATGTAATTTTAAAACATTAGACTGAAACGTAGAATGGAGTTTATCTTTGAACAACTTTTCTATCCTTTCAAAATTTTGTTCTGAAGCAAATTATAACAAAGATTCATTCAGAGAAAAATTATCTTTTAAAAAATATATCAATAATACACAAGGTTTTAAAACCTCAGTGAACCCATTTTGATCATGGAGCTTTTTATTTGGCACCCAACTGGTTTTCCATGAAACTTGATATTATTTGTCTTGATATTTTTATGTCTTGATATTATTCTTTCAAAGTCCTTGACATGTAATACATTCCTCACTCATCCCTTGGCCTCAGTAGACAGTTTCTTTTGTAAAAAAAATAAATAGTTCTTTGGCCTATTGATCAAAAGCACTCACACAAATCAGCTTCTAGAATATTCCTGAAGTGGATGTGTATTGCACTGCTGCCCAGATCTGCCTTTAAGACCAAGGTAGTACTCCTCCTAGTTGTAGGACTGTTAGCTACCAAGGGTTCATTCACAACTGAGTTCCTCTTCAGAAATTGCCCACTATTTATCCAAGATTCACTCTGCTCCCCTAGGGGTACTGATATCCAAAAAGTGACACATGTGTAGGGTACAATTGTGTCCTCCTAGCAAGGTGAGGCAACTTTGAAAGAACATCTTAGCTCTAAAGCTACCCAGGGAAGGGGCAGAGGCCTTTGTTGTTGCTGTTCAACTTCTCCTTCTGCCCTGTCCTGCATTTACCCTTGCACAGGCGTTGATCCCAAAACCACTTCCGGCAATTTTCTTGCATGCTGATCTTCATTTCACAGTCTGCTTACTAGGAAGCCTACCTGCGAGAATTCTTTTGGTCACAATTCTTTGGTCACTTTTCACACAAGTGGCTGACCACTGCTTTCAGCCATTGTTTAAAAATCTGAAGTTTTGGTGGTGACTTGTATATTAGTCGTGGCAAACTATCTTTGTACTATATACCCTCCAAGTGTTAGTGGCTTAACCCAAAACAAAATTGGTTCTCAATCATGCCATTGTGCATTGCAGTCCAGTGGGGAGGGGCAGTATGGCAGAGGCTTGGCATCACATGGTCATTCAGGAATCCAGACTCCTTCCAGCTTTTGGATCTACCCTTTTCTAGGAGTCCTGTCCTTCAGCTAGCAGATGAAGAACAAAAATGAGCAGAAGGCCTGGAAGGTTTGGTAGCCTGAAAGGCTACATATTCATTCCACTAACATTTCAATGGTCACAACGCAGTCATATGGCCGCACCAAATCAAGCGAGACTGATGAGCACCCATAGTCTCCAGCACACAGTTATAAAACAACTGTGATTTTCAAATCTACCATTACCCATGACGTGTGACACTCTCATGCCATTCTTCAACTTGTAAGAGCTAAAAATTCCATTTCTATTAAAGAGCCAAAGAGTAATGATCTCTCCATTTCAAGAAAAATTCTCTTTGGGTATTTTTGTTTGTTGTTACTTGGTTGTTTTTTTTTCTCTGTTTGTTTATTTTGTTTTTGTTTTGTTTGGCTTTATATCTTTAAAATAAGAGCAGGTCAGCCTAGCTCACAGCAACCTCAAACTGCTCAGCTCAAATAATCCCCCTGACTCAGCTTCCTGAGTGTTGGGCCTACAGGCATGCACCACCATGCCCACCTAATTTTTTCTATGTTTAGAAGAAATGGGGTCTCCCTCTTGCTCAGGCTGTTCTTGAACTCTTGTGCTCAAAGGATCCTCCCACCTCAGCCTGCCCAGAGTGCTAGGATTATAGGTGTGAGCCACCTTGCCTGACCTAAGAGCTTTTTTTATTTTTAAAGCTGCACCTGTAGCTCAAAGGAGTAGGGTACCAGCCCCATATGCCAGAGGTGGCGGGTTCAAACCCAGCCCCAGCCCCAAACTGCAAAAACAAAACAAAACAAAACAAAACAAAACAAAACACAGAACCATGATGTCATTATCATACCCAATAAAAATAATTCCTTAATATATCTAATACTCATCCTCAACAATAAAAAATAAATAAATTAGCCTACAGATATATGAAAAAATGCTCACCATCCTTAATCATCAGAGAAATGCAAATCAAAACTACTCTGAGATATCATCTAACTCCAGTGAGA